AAATAATATTTGCTATTAAAATTCTCACCAAGGAAGACTCTGAGATAACGGAAAGTCAAGGGTTAGGGCAACCTCTGGATGCAGTTGTATTCATAGACTCAGTGATGCCATCCAAGATCTAAGTTATTTTCATCTTAGAGCTCTCCCCTCCAGGACTGATGAAGCTAAACACAGGCTTTCTTGTCCAACAGAAGACACAAAAACCATTCCCTAGACATGGACTCTTTAGTCTCTTTTTTTAGTCTGAGCCATATCAGATTACATACATTTTTATGTAATCATAGTTGACAGCAGCATATCTTATGCTAATTGGTATAAACAAGATCCAACCTCCCACTGATCTTAGCTACCTAGACAGAACTAAAACTGTCTTAAGAAGAAGTAAATGGATCTTGAGTATGTAACCAGTTTTCCATTAAACTGTCTTGTCCACCTAACAACCAGGTCATCCTGAATAGTCAAATTGAGTTTATAGGAGCGAGTCCTCTCATAGTATACTCAAACTATAAAGGGGAAATTGGTAGAACATCATGAATTGTCTGATATTAGTTTTTATAGAATAAGACAATTGGCAAATGTTCAGACAACAGTTCCCTGAAGAGAGTCCTTATGGAGATCCTTAGGGGGATCTGAGTCAGAATGGATTTACTTACTTCCAAGTACCAAAATGCCCAACTACACCAACATAAGCAGTACAGAAATGTAATTTACTCCTGTTGTGAAGTCTGGAGATTGTCAGTTCTGGGTTTGTGACAGCGGCTCAGTGATGCTTCCAAGAACCTAGGCTTGTTCTGTTTTTCCACTCTTCATGCTTTTCATCCTTAGGCATATCATCTCTTGTGGCCATGGTAACTTCAAGTGTCACATTTGTCACAAAGTTGTATTCAAGCAGGATGAACAGTCATAGGCCCCCCTTATTGCCTGTAAGGGTATATGGTTTTTCCCAGGAGTTCCCTGCATCCTTTCTTTTTCATCTCATTGGACACATGCCCACCCGTAAGCCATCACGGTAAAGATATATTGTGCTTGGTGTCTATCAATCTTTTTGTAGGTCCTGGCAACTGGGAGAAAAGCCCACTTTCCTTACCATATTGCCCAAGTAAAATCAGAGTTCCATAAACTAAAGAAAAAGGGGAAATAGATATGGGAATATAACCTGTGTGTCTGCTTAAGATCAACTTGGAAATACATGTCCAAAGCCAAAAATCATGTCTCTGTTCTATTTTAACATTTGTATTAGGAAAGCATTAATCTCAAATCCAGTGTTTTTCAAACTGTATGTGGTGAAGAACTAGGTTTTTTCCCCCAATTTCATCACAGACCCATAGTAGAAAAATGAATTTTAAAAAATACACTTCAAAGAGGCACACACTGCACAAGCCCATAGTTTTTGTTACTAATTAACAGGTATATGTTTCTGTTAGAATAATACAAGAATATCTAAACTCACTCAGTTTCTGTCCTTATCTCAGTATGGACCAGTAACCAATGGGGAGGCCACACTTGTGAGGCACTGTGTAGCCAGCTGACTTCATAATCTGACCCTAGCCTGCCTCTTCTGCTTTGTGTCCTGCTTGATGCTCCTTTGGATCTATCTATCTATGACAAGCTATTCTCTGATATAGAATATGCATTTTGTTTTTGTTTTGTTTTACTCCTGGACTTGACTTCTGTTACACCTTCTGGAATGCCCTCCCCTAGCTAGAGAACACCCACCATATTTTTAGACCTGTATTTGTCTCCCAAATTCTTCATGCCTCCATCAGTGTTTTTCCTTTGAATCCTGGATCTACTTTTTAATGTGTCAGGCTCTCCTACTAGATCAAAAGTTCCTTGAAGGTGGTAGTTGCTTGTTCATCTTTATATCCTCTGTTACCAGCACAGTTTGTCCTGAATAAATGCTTACTAATTGAGCCAACTCAACAAATGATGTGACTTACTTATTTCTTTTCTTTTTCCCCAAATATTTCCCACTATACTTCCTGCTTGCATGTTTGTGAATTACTTAATAATAATATACCTTTTTGACACAGGAGATTGGACCCAGGGGTGCTGAGCCACTGAGCTCTGTCTCCGGCATTTTTTTTTTTTTAATTTTGAGACAGGGTCTGGCCAAGTTGCTGAGGTTGGCCTCAAACTTGTAATTCTCCTGCTTCAGCCTCCCAAGTAGCTGGGATTACAGGGGTGTACCACCATACCTGGCCCCAAGCTAGTTCTAAAAACAAATAAGATACAACTTTATATTGCTGTGATCTCATCACTGGTCCTATTCTATGGGTATTAATGTTACTATCACTGCAAGCATGATTCTCTAGTATGTATGCCGCCCATACTCCAAGCCCCTGTGGCAATAATAATAAAAACCTGGTAGGATGGTATAGCACAGAGAATATCTAATTTAGACTCACACTGACCTAGGTTTTCATCCCTATTCACATACTAGCTCTGTGACCTTGGGAAAATTCCTTAGCCTAAGGAAACTGTTTCTTCCATTAAAAACAAAAACAAAAAAACATATCTTGGGATGACATGAGGAAACCACAGCTGCTTGATAAAGGTTAGTAGCCTCTGCTGAGATAAGTGCATGCAGATTGACAAGGAAGCAGACTGAGTTCAGCCTTGGGTCTGCCTGTTTCTTTAAAGGGTCAGGGCCAAACCATTGGGCAAGCTGGGAAAGATGACCCGATTTGAAATTCTATCTGGGTAGAGCCTTGGTTTCTTCTCTGTTTCTGTGCTCTGACTTCCTTGCTTACAGCTGGCCGGGACACCTACTCTGGAAGCTCAGGGGGTGCATGACTAAGGTGGACAGATGAGCAGCTGCTACTCATTAAAGAAGGTGGGGTGGTTGGGAGGCAGACAAGTGACATAAAAGTAACAAATGGAAATCCCTAAACTCCACTGCTCAAATGACATCATGGGTCCAAGTCATTTCCACAAGGGGGGAGCATGGGGGCATATCCTTTTCCAGCACTCCAGGCCTTTTCCTTTACCAGCAATTTTATTTTAATTTTTGTTTTTAGTTGTAGATGGACACAATAACTTTATTTTATTTGTTTATTTTATTTAGTCCTGAGAATCGAACCAGTGCCTCACACATGCTAGGCAACTGCTTTACCACTAAGCTACAACCCCAGCGCCACTACTGATTTTTTTTTTATCCCTCTTTACTTCAGAAAGAAGGAAATGTGATACACATTTACTGGTCAGTTGATTTTAATTAAATTAAAAACTGGCTTCCTTCAACATGCCATACATTTTCACACCACTAGCAATGCTGTTTTCTCTCTGCCTACCTTAACTCCTGCACCTCATATCAAACACTGGCTAGTAAGTCTTCTCTCCCAATGCCACCCTTCCTTCTCAGCTGCCACTATTCTTTAAACTTAACACAGGCAGTCACTGTACTCCACACCCTGAATTGCCATTGTTTTTTGAGGCCTCTTTCCCTTAATAGAGTGAAACGTGACTCAAGGTTGTCACTCAATAAATATTTGTTGAGCTGAAAACTTCTACTCAGCATATTTGACATTTCTTCTCAATGTTAGATTACAGCAGTATAGTACAAGTCTGTGTGGATTGAGCACTTGGACAGTTCTGGGAGGTCATTGAGCACCACCACATGTACTTCAGGGGCTTTAAAAAATGATACTACCAACCTACCAACCTAGTAGCCAGGACAAAGAATCAAGAGTCATTTGGAAGACAGTCACATTTCTTAGTTTAATGTTTACATATTCCAGATTTATTTCTTGGAAGCCCATAGTAAATCCCCAAATTCACCTAGAAGTTCTCAAAAGTCATCAGACTTATAGGAAGTTTGGGCTGGGAGATGTGTATCTACTCCTGCATGTCCACTTACTGTGCAAACCTTTTGGGACACAGTATTCAGTCTGATAGTCTTGGGTTCAAATCCTAGCTCTGCCTCTTAACTCCCTGAGGGTATGTATTACCTCCCTGAGCCTCATTTTTTTCAGATATAGAAGGAAGATTGTTTTTGTGACTGAATAATAAATATATAAAATGTCTAATGTAGGTTTGGCACTTAATGGGTGTTTAATTGGTAAACACCCATTAACCACCTGACCCTACTGCTCTCTGGCCAGTAAATAGGCAAATAGGTATATATTTATAATTTGAAAAATGCTGGGGTGAGTGGAATGGTGATCTGGGCAATTTATTACCATTTTAAAACTATTACTAGATCCAGATACAGACATGAGAGAGTCAACTTAGAATTGAAAAAGTTGCTTTACAGAGCTATTTTTGCTGAATGCATGTCATACATCTAATCATATCTAAGTGTGACTTAATAAAAACTTTCAAGGGGTTTTCCAGCTTTCACTGCTAGGACTTTTTCAGATAATACACCCACCCTTTTCTCCTTTGATGTGTCCTCCACCTCTACCGCTAAGCTACAACCCCAGCCCCACCACTGATTTTTTTTTTAATCCCTCTCCCCAGAGAGCTAGGGACAGTGTTCTGCTTGGCTTTGAGGTAAATTCCATGCTCACTTTTCCTTCATCCCTCCTTGCCTGCCTGTCTTGTCCCAGGTCTTATCTTGTCCTTTGAGAGGTATGCTAAGTGCTCTGCCAGCCTGCCTGAATGCCTGGCCTGTTTTTTCTCACTGCCAGTACCTCTTAGATTCCAATTCCAAACATGGTATCCCTCTGGGGTCACCCTTTCTTCCGGTGCCAAGAGACAACACATTCCAAATGGAACACAAGTGTGCCTCCCATGCTGGGCTCTCCTCATTCTGCTTGGGAACAGCAGAGAGCAGGATGTGGCCACTTCATCCCTCGCTGAAGTTTTCAGTCTCGTGGTCCTTTCTCTTGGGACAACTTAGGCTTTGGGCTAAGAACCAAATATGAAGACTGTCCTCAGAAACTTGAAGCCAAGGAAGCTTGCCAGAGCTCTACAGAAAGAGTCAGAGCCTTGCTGAGGGAGAAAGAGAAAGAGAAAAGAAAGTTCTAAAATTCTCCATGAAGTGTACTATGTTCTGGCATTCATTCTCTACGCCACTGGAAGCGTTCCTCCCAGCAAAGGTAGAGTAGGTGGTGAGAAGCTGGGGGTGAAAAGATACCTGGGAGGACAGATTAATTCATTTCCTGAGTTTCCTGTGTGGGACAATATCAGAGTCCAGCAAGTCTTTGTGACACCTCAAAGATGAGCACCAACAGCAGCATGGTGGGACAGCTCCTCTGGCGAGGGCCAGTGTGCATTAGCTGGAAACAGGATCCGGAAGGGGCTATCTACCACCTAGCCAACTGCTTCTTGCTCCTGGGATTCATGGGAGGCAGTGGGGTATATGGGTGCTTCTACCTTTTTGGCTTCCTGGGTACTGGTTACCTGTGTTGTGTGCTGTGGGGCTGGCTTGATGCCTGTGGGCTAGACATTGTCCTTTGGAACGTCCTACTGGCAGTGGCCTGCCTGCTCCAGCTGGCACACCTGGTGTACCGCCTGCGCATGAACACCCTGCCTGAGGAGTTTGACCTCCTCTACAAGACGCTGTGCCTGCCCCTGCAGGTGCCCCTGCAGACCTACAAGGAGATTGTTCACTGCTGCCAAGAGCAGGTCTTGACTCTGGCCACAGACCAGACCTATGCTGTAGAGGGTGAGACACCCATCAACCGCCTGTCCCTGTTGCTCTCTGGCCGGTAAGCTATTCTGTCATTGTCATTGCCCAGAACTTCTTTCCCCAGCCCACACTTCTCATTTCCCTAGTGTCCCTTTCCATTTCATGTTCCCTTTCACTGAGGGAAGGATGTGGTGAGTAACCCAAAATAGATTTTTCTAGGAGTGAGTTTGCTTCCTATTTTAAAAACATGTTCCAAGAGGAAACTAGATCATGAGGCATCTTCTTGGTTGGAAAGAAAGATTAATTTTTCCTTCTGTATACATTCGATATTTGCTAAGCATTAACTAGGCATAGGGAACAAGGCCAGAAATGGAGGGGGTTCCTGTACCCCTATTCTCTGCCAGGGCATCAAGGGAACAGCCCCACTTGTGTTTGGAATATTCTATACCAACTCTAGTCTGTGTACAGCCAGGTAAGGAGCAAGAATACCCTTTGTCCACTCTTCAATACCCTGTTGTTCAACTGAGATTCTTGCAGACCAAGAAGTCAAGTACTGTAAATCTGAGCACCTTAGGCTGACAAAATATTAGTGATGCCCATGTATGTGTCATCAGGGATTTGGTGGAGACATCTGCTCCTTTGAAGAAGACTAACAATGGACATTGGCAGCAATGTTCTCAGTCAGGATTGGTGTGTACCCAATCAACCTGCATGTGAAACTGGGCCACTGATGTTTTAATATTTTTCTCTAATTAATATCTAATGAGAAAATACCATGGGACTCTGTGCTTCACACTTTGTAGGCAATTGTGGACTTCTTGAAATATTGCACTAGTAGTGCTTGCACACTTCTCACACCAATAATGTGGTAGAAAAGTTAAGGAGATAGATAATCAGAAGGCTCTGAATCTAAGAAAGAAAGAAACAAAATTTTAAAAAAGAAAGAAAGTAATAACACAGTTTTTTCCAACAACACAGTGGGGAAAAAATCTTGATGATAATAGCATGACAACTACTATTATAGTAATAATAAACTTTATGTATTAATTTGCAGAATCCAAGGTGTTATATATATATAGGTTTTGGTCTCAGAGGTCCTGAATTGAGTGAATTATAAGGGGAGAGATTTTTTGACATTTTATTTCATTTATGAGTGAATTGAAAGTGTAAGCAAATGTAGTTTTTTTTTTAAAGAGAGAGTGAGAGACAGAGAGTAAAGAGATAATTTTTTAATATTTATTTTTTAGTTATCGGCGGGCACAACATCTTTGTTTGTATGTGGTGCTGAGGATCGAACCTGGGCCGCACACATGCCAGGCGAGCGCGCTACCGCTTGAGCCACATCCCCAGCCCCGCAAATGTAGTTTTTTAAATAAACAAATACACATCATGACTACTGCCAAAATATTTACTACTTATAGTTTCATGCTTAAGATAAAACCAGTTCAGGGAACTTACTCATTCATGAGATCCACGATGCTCTTTTTGTGGCTCCTCTGTTCAGTGGAGGGAATTGAGACCTGTAGAAGTCAACCCACCCCCACTGTACAGTGCTCTTGCTGGAAGCACATTACGTTATGGAATGGTTCAGGTATCTTAAATATGACAGATTTCCTATGAACTTATATAAAACCATGTCTCTGTAAAGGGGAGAGAAGGGCTTGTCCTTGTGTAGCTTTTCCTAGAATACTTAATATCAACAGCCTAAATTAGAAATCAGACAATTTGATTTTTTTCTTTTCACAGTTTGGATTAAGGATGTTATTGTTGTTCCTCTTGTTTGGTTATCTTTCAAAGTCATCCTCTCCCAGTTTGGCTAAGCTGAACAAGGGGATGAAGCTTCTTGTCTGTGAGTGAGCTCTGGTTTTAAGGAAGAATCACTGTACCCTGGGCTGTTTATAGTGTGGTACCAAACACCTCAAGGTAGCAGAAAAGAACTCTGTGCCAGGAAATGGGGGCCTCTTGTGTAGACTTCCCTGTCTTACATGCAGACATGGAGCCCTTTGCTCAAATCTCAGAAGTCTTTTTGTATTAATTTATTAAGGGCAGTTAGTCCCTTTCAAGATTTAGAAAACAAAGTAACTTCCTCAAAACCTATCATCCTGTTAAGCTGTACTTATGGAGAGTTTCTCTCATATAAAATTCAAAGCACAAACTCCTACATGTTTAGACCCCTGAACAGGTTAACTACCTATCTAAGCTATTCACATAGGTGGAAATTATTGATGTGTCATCCAGGAGATCAAAGAGTAAGAAGAGACCAACAATAAAGGACACAGTATACCTGTTTAAATGGCTCCAGTGAGCCTTGCCAGACTCATTTGATATTACTCACACTCTGAGATCTTGTCACTCTTTGGTGGCTTTCCTGGGGAATATGAGGAGATGAGGGATGCCACAGCAGCTGTGTTCTCGCCTGGTATCTTCCTTTCTTAGAGAAGCTTTCTTTCTTTCTTTTTTTTGAGATATTTTGATCACCTTTTTTGGAACACAAATGAGTTTACTGGTTTGTTCATTGTTCCTTTTTCTTTCTTTCCCTCCTGATTTTGTTCCTTCCTTCCATCCTTCCTTCCTCCTTTCCACAAATATGTATTAAAAGTAATAGGGGGCTGGGGATGTGGCTCAAGCAGTAGCGCGCTCGCCTGGCATGCGTGTGGCCCGGGATCGATCCTCAGCACCACATACAAACAAAGATGTTGTGTCGGCCGAAAACTGAAAAATAAATATTAAAAAAAAATTCTCTCTCTCTCTCTCTCTCTCTCTCTCTGTCTCTAAAAAAAAAAAAAAAAGTAATAGGGACTAGGCCTCTAGTGCTAAATGTGAAAAATATTGCCTTTGTATTCATGGAGTTTACAGTCAGCTGTTTATCAAAACAGCTGATAGTCAATGTGTGCCAGAGTGGGTAACAATGGATATAACATTTCTATGGAGAAATGCAGAGTGCAATGAGAGCATGTAACTAAAACTGCTGGATTTCATTTTTCTGGGGAGGTCAGACAAGACCCCCTTCCTGTAATAGGGGGTGTTCAAGCTGAGATTGGAGGAAAAGAGGTCTAACTGGGGACAGCATATGTAAAGACCCTGAGGTAGGAGAACACGACACTTTTTCTCTTGTTTTCTTTCATTACTCAGGGAGGCTCTGCCAGGCAGTCTCTCTATATATTTCTTGGTCTTGTAGGAATGTGTTTCTGCCTTTCAGAAGTTATTGGCTGACTCCATCATTAGCTTGGTTTGAATGAGACCTACATTCCCTCAGTCTTCCTCCTTTAGGTGGTCAGGTAAGAGGCAATAGCTTATTAATTGCTAGTGTGTGTGTGTGTGTGTGTGTGTGTGTGTGTGTGTGTATCATTAAGAGCAAAACTCAGGAGTGCTTATATCCCATTGACCAGAAGTTAGCCGCTTGGCTATACCTAGTGAGAAAGGATGTATGGAGGTGTAGTCTTCAGTGGTGCAGACATGTATCCAGTTAAAACTCTAGCACTATGGAGGAAGAGAAAAGCAGATATTGGAGAACACACTACTAGACTGGATTTCCCAGATCTCTGTCTCTCCCCATCCTTATCTACTTATTAGTATCCTATTTATCTTTTAAACTCAGCCCAAGCCTCCCTCCTCCTCCTCCTCCTCCTCCTCCTCCTCCTCTTCTTCTTGCTTTGTTTTTGTTTGAATCATATACACTCATATGAATAATTCAAGCAAGAGAGGCAAGTGCAAAGGAGGAAGTTGTTCAAACCATTTAATATTCCAATAAGAAAATGACCAGTATTATATCAGGTTAACATTATTCCAGGTATCTCTAATGATGTGAACAAAGAGGACAGTAAGCTTCCCTCTGACTTCCCCCTACCTTTATACCCTCTCTGCCTCTTAAAACCTCTCAGAGGTAAAGTGGTGCCAAAGTCAGACCCAAATCCTCCCATCAGCTCCCTCTTTACCTTGTTGGAAACTTGGCTGGTCCCATAGCTTCAAATGATACCTGAATGCCAATGCCTCCCAAATTTATATATCCAGTTTTGTTGCTGAATAAATTGGTCAGCTAGATTACAGGGAATGTAATGATGATGATGATGATGATGATGATGATGATGATGATGATATTTTTAAGTTACTGCATTACAATTATATATAAGCATGGGATTCATTGTATTATATTTTATACATGGACATAGCATAATTTGGTGGACTACATTCCCCAGTGCTTCCCATGCCCTCTCCCCCTAACTCCTTCTCAATCCCCTTCCTCTATTGATTTCCCTTCTATTTTTGTGAGATCATCCTTTTTATCAGTCCCCCCTTTTACTCTCTCTCTCTGGCTTCCACATATGAGAAAGAAATGTCATCATCTTTGAGAAGTCTTCCACACTCTCCCCCGCAAAAAAACTCTCTCCCTTCTCAGTGCTCCTATTCCACAATAGTGCTTATATAGAATTGCAACTAGTTATTTATGTGCCTATGACTTCCACTAAACTGTGCAACCCTCAAAGGCAAGAGCCAGATTGTATATCTCTGCATCTCCTGACCTCCAGGAATATTTGTTTAACCAGTAAAGATCCAGAAATAATGGAGGAATATCTCCCTCTAAATGGACATGTGTGCCTTGGAGATCCTCTCCTCTTCCTCCTCCTCCTCCTCCTCCTCCTCCTCCTCCTCCTCCTCCTCCTCCTCCTCCTTCTTCTCATCCTCCTCTTCCTTCTCTTCCTCCTCTTACTCCTCCTCCTCTTCCTCCTTCTTCTTCCTAACAGACATATCTTCTCACTTAGTACAACTCACTTAGAAGAGACTTAATCTTTTTCCAGATGCCATATCACATCTGAAATATGCTTACTTTCCCCAAGCATAGTCAGAGACAGGCCACTGATTCTAACAAATCCTCCCAAAATGTAGTCCCCATTGTCTGCATGGCTGCAAGGATACACGGACAGCAAGCAGCATTAGTGGTGTTTCTAATCCTGAGCTGTGAAGATAAACCTGTGCTTATGGGAAAGTCAAGAGCAGTTGTTTAACATGTTGGTAAAGTAGAATAAGATTATTCATAAAATTAAAACATGTTAATTAGAATTCCTGGTTGTAACCATAGAAACCAACTCCAGCTAGCTGAAGGGGGAAAAGGTCTTTTAAGAAGTACAAGAATTTCTCACCAAACAAGGAAAGGCATGCACCTGAGCCTCTGCTAGGAATAGAAACAAGAACTTGTTCTATTGGGCCTTTTGTTTGATTTTATATTTTTCTTCCCTATGGCTAATTGGAGTACATGCTTTTTCAAAGTCTGAACTACATGATTTTAAAAAGTAAGGTTTTGGTTCCTTAACAGGGAAACTTTAGTTGTGAATGCGATAGTTTTCCCCATCCAAGACATGAGTCGCATTTACTTAATTCCAGTTTCAAATTCTCATGGAAGGAGTTTATCTCAGGTTAAGTTTATACCTCAGGATTATCCATTGAGCAGGGTGCATGGGATCTTTTGTCCAAAGACAGAAACTGTCACTGCCACATTATGGCTAGTGAGGACAGAGATGAGGCAATGCTAAGAGTGTCCACCATCACCTGCCAAAAGCTCTGGGAAAATGGTGTCATGGTAAAAATACAGAATCTCAGTTCTTGATAGCTTGGTAGCTGAGGAGTTAACCACTAAGCCTGAGTATGAGTTTTCTTAACCATAAAACACAGAAAGGAATAATCTATCTTGAGTTATTGTGATGATTAAATAAGAGAACACTTGTGAAGTATCTAGTGGACTTACCACTTCCTTCAAAGTCTGAAAAGTGGTTATAATGCAAACATGTGATGTATAAAGCATGGCTCCTCATATAGTCTACTGGGAAGGAAAAAGGAGAAGTTACCCCAGGCTGAACCTCTAGAGCAGCGCTGACCAGAAATCTTTCTGTGATGAGAGAAACATTCTATATCCCTGTTGTACAATATGGTAACCACAGGCCACATATGGCTATGGAGCAATTGAAATGTGATTAGTGTAACTGAATAACCGGATTTTTAGTTAGTTAGTTTGTTTGTTTATATTTGCAGTGCTAGAGATTTAACCCAAGGCCTTGCACATGCTAGGAAAGCACTCTATCACTGAGCTACATCCTCAGCCCTAATTTTATTAATTTTAGTGACTATAACTGTAAACTTAAATAGTCACATGTGGCTAGTGGACAGCAGCACTCTAGAACAGTAGTTTCTGTCCTAACTACACAATTGAATCACGGGGAAGTTTTTTTTTTTTTTTTCATATTTTTATTGGTGCACTATTTGCTGTCACATATTTCATATATGTACCCAATAGAAAATTATAATTTGGTCAATATCATACTAGGGAGATTTTTAAACTAATAATTTCCAGATCCCACCTACAAAGATTCTTATTAATTGCTCTGGAATAGGGTCTAAGTCTAGGTGTTTTTTAAAGCTCCCCTGTGGCTTCTACTCTGAAGCCTGGAATTGAGAACCATGGGTAAGCAGGAGAGCTCAGGAAGTCTCCCTGAGATCCCTTTCTAAACAGCTTCTACACATTAATCAGGTCTCTCCTGCTTTGGGTTTTACTACATTTTGGGCAAGGTGATTTGTGGGAGATTTGTGTTAACTGGCAACACACAACAACAGCAAAGGGGGTTTCAGCAGCTATTTCCCTTTCCCAAGCACTCTCTTCTCTCCCTTTGCCAGGGTTCGTGTGAGCCAGGATGGGCAGTTTCTTCACTACGTCTTTCCATACCAGTTCATGGACTCTCCAGAGTGGGAATCCCTGCGACCCTCTGAGGAGGGAGTCTTCCAGGTAATAGGGAGCCCCATGGCAGCACTGCCTCACCTGTTCTTCTGTAATCTGGCAATGCCCATACCCCTCTCTCCTCCCAAATCTGCCTTTGGATCACTGCTAATATATTGCTAGGGTAAGAGCATCACCACCTCCTCCTCTGTGGAAACAGCCCCTGAGCATCTGACTTGGGAATAGATGGGAGATCCTGGTCCCTGAAAGGTCGCTATAATATCACTTCTTTGCCTAAAACTCTTCCAGAAGACTCTAATGCCCGCAAGATAAAACCCCACACTCCTCAGAGGTTAACTTTAAATTTTTAGTGCCCTTTGGTCACACTCCAGCCCTCTTTTCCTTATACATTTTACACACATAGCCATGCTGAAGTGCAGCTGCTTCTCTCAACACACCACATGGTTGGGCAACTCCTTGCCTTGGTCTCTCCTTTCCCTTCTATCTGAAATACATTTCCCCTTCTAGATGAGAGGCCATGACATCTCACTTCCTGTGTTAGTCAGCATTTTGTCACTGTAACAAATATCTAAAAAAAAAAAAAAAAAAAAACTTAAAGGAGTAAAAACTTATTTTGGCTCATGGTTTCAGACCATGGTCAACTGGCTCCATTGCTTTGGGCCTGAGTAAGTAAATTGTGACAGAGGGATGTGACAGAAGAATGCTATTCCACTCATGATATATGGGAAGTGGGCAGAGACGTGGAAATCAGTCCCCAAGGGCCTCCCACAAGGATCCATTCCCCTCAACTAAGTCTCTCCTACAGTTTCCATCATTTCCCAGTAATGCACCCAAATCATGACTCTTTCAGTGGACTAATTGATTGATAATATCAGAGTTCTCCTAATCCAATCACCTCCCAAAAGTCCCCCTCTGAAACTTGCTGCATTGAGGACCAAGTCCTCAATAGATGAGCCTTTGGAGGGCATTTCAAATCCTCTGTGAGCCTGCTCAGATCAGCCTCTCGGACTTCCACCCCACAGTGCACCGTTCCTGCCTGCCCACCTGTTTTCTTCCTTTGGTGGATGCTGACTGGTGCACAGTTGCTCTCTCTTCTAACCAACTGGGTTCCTTTCTGTCTTGTACATAATGATCTCTTTGAAGTAAAAATCTGGGCTTCTTTCTCTATCTCCAAACTCTAAAGCACAGTCCTTTGAACATAGTAGGTGTTCAATGAAGGTTTGATAAGTGGCTTGCCACTTATCTTGCCACTTATCTCAGAGGATTCTATGGGACATTCACTTGCATATGAATGTAAGTGGGGAACCTAGCTGCTCAGCTTCTACTCTCTTCTCTGCCAATGCTTCAGATGGTGGTTACTTTGTAGTTCTTGCTTACTGAATGGCTAGTATGTACAGGCACTTCATACTATATTACCCCATTGACTCATACAACTCTTGGGGTTAGATATTATTATTACCCCATTTAACAGATGAGGAAACTAAGGTACCAAAACATCATGAAATTCAGCTAAAAAGTGGCAAAGCCAAGTTGCCTGAATCTACTATTTATATTCTTTTTTAAAAATAGAAGGACCACCGGAAGAGTGAAGTTTAAACACCTACACTCATCACCCTTAGGGATTCCTCATCTAGATAGTTTGCAGATACTGGGTTCTGTGTGTTTCCTACCACTTCTATCAGGGAGTCCTCCAAGCCAGCATCTGAGCCAACCCCAGAACAGACACATGCCAGGCGGTACCATTTGGCTTGGCTGGTTTCCGGCCCCACCCTGACACTTGTCTCTGTGAAGATGGAGCTTGAGAAGTAGTCTTGATCCCACTGACAGGGCTACCAACCACAGACCCCCTCCAATTATATTTCCACCCCTACCCCCAAACACATTCCCGCCCTCAATAGCTATCCCAGCCATCTCCTTTGGGAACTCCCTCAGGCTGGAAGAATGTCCAGGAGTCTGAGACAGCTGGACCAGGGCTCTGACACTGACCCAGAGGAACAGGTGTTGGGTAGCCAGGTGCCCTCCCCTAAGTTATGCTTGAAAGGAAGGGCTATAACCCCAGATGGCCTCTCAGCATGGAATGTAAGTAGGGTCATATTCCTCCAGTTTATATTTTTAGTGTCTGTCTCGTTTGGGAGCAGTGAGACACTCACATTTGCTATTGGCTGTGTAAAGTCTCATTTCCTCTTTGCAAATGTCAAATGTTGTCCCAAGTTATAGTTCACTCTGTCCTTACCTTTTGCAATTATTTAGCCTTTGTTGAATGAGAGAGTAGTCCAAAGTGACAGTCTAAATCATAATTCACCTCATGTTTAACACAAATCAATCAACAGTCCATCATACCTCTCAATAATTCAGTTTCATCAGAACTATTGCCTGTTTACTGCTGTGACACTCTCATTAGTCATAAGAACACACATTAAACGCTGTATGATCTCACTTACATGAGAATCTAAAAAAGTCAAATTTGCAAGAGGTAGAGTAGAATGCTGTTACCAGAGGCCTGGGAAGGGGGATGAATAGAGAAAGGGGAGACATTGGTCAACAGATACAAAGTTTTGGTTAGGTAAGAGGAAAAAATTATGGTGTTCTGCCAGGCACAGTGGTTCAGGAAGCTGAGGCAGGAGGATCACGAGTTCAAAGCCAACCTCAGAAAAAGTGAGGCACTAAGTGACTCAATGAGACTCAGTTTCTAAATAAAATACAAAATAGGGCTGGGAATGTTGCTCAGTGGTTAAGTGCCCCTGGGTCCAATCCCCTGTACAAAAATAAATAAATTATGGTGTTCTGTTGCACAGTATACTGACTATAGTTAATATATATTTCAAAACACTAAAAGAGGATTTTAAGTGTTCTCACCATAAAGATAAACATTTGCAGCAATGGGTATGCTAATTAGCCTATTTTGATTATTCCACAACATATACATATATCAAAACATCACACTGTATCCCATAAATAGATAACATAATAATTTTAAAAATAACAGCACAGGAGGCATCATACAGAAATCATCATCATTCCTCCAATTTGCATCCTGTTTCACTGAACCTAAATTTTGTTTACATTCTTATTCAGTCCCTTCAACCAGCATCTGAAGTGAGTATTAAAGAAAAAGCTAGATAGTTGTCAAACTTTATTATATACATGCCTATATATGTGAGAAGCAATCAAGAAGCAGATTTCCAAAGCACCTTTGGGAAAGGATTTTATACAGGACATGAAAAAGTGCATTAGGTTGTTTTACAACATATAAGATTCATGGTCTTCACTTGATTCATTTATTCACTTCAGTGATATTTATTGAGTACTTATAATTTGCCAGAAACAGTTAAAGGTATTTGGAATACATTAGTAAACAGAAGAGATGAAGGTCTCTGTCCTTATGTATTCTACATTCTAGTGAGAGAGACAAAAATAAGCCACAGACACAATGAGTAAGGAAATTATGTAACATGTTAGAGTAGGGTAAGGGAGAGATGGTTGTAGATTTAAATAGAGTGGTCACAGAAGTCCTTGTTAAGCAGGTAAAATTTGAGCAAAGACCTGAGAGAGGTGACATTGTGAGCTCTGTGGGTGTCTGGGGAAGAGCATACCAGACAAAAGAAAGAGCCAGTGCCAAGTCCTAAGATAGGACTAGTGCATTCAAGGTACAGAAAGAAGGCCAGAGCACCTGGAACAGAGGTGGGGGAAAGAGACTAGTAGGAGAAGAAGTTTAAAGAGGCAATGGGGGAGCCAGATCTATAAGGGCCAGTGTGTATATTTTCTGGATAGAGCTAAAAGCATTTCTGAATAAGTTGGACATAAGATGTGAGAGAAAGAGAATCAAGTAAAACTCTGAGGCTTTTTGACCTGAGTAACTGGAAAGATGGAGCTGTGATCAGCTGAGATAAGGGAGCTGCAGGTAGAACTGACTTGGAGGGAATAAGAAGTTCACTTTGGGATACAATAAGTTTGCACTGCTTATGGACAGTTAAATAAGATGCTGCATGAACAGTTTTATATTTGAGTCTGAAAATCAGGAATGAGGCCTAGGTATGAGACAAATTTGGGAGTCAATTTTATCAACGTGTATAAAGGTTGTACAAAGGGGGATCTTTAACTTTCTGCTCTCAAGAGTTTGTCTTCCTCTGTACTCCTTTTCTGACTTTAAACATCAAATTCTTTTGGTTACTTATAGTGGCCAAGGTAAAGGGACTTCATGGACCTGAATCCTAGGCCAGTACTTTGTCCACCTGATACAACCTGGCATACCTTATCCAAAACTTTTTCTTTAGCTGAACATTTTCCCAACCCTTTGTGCCCCTACATTGTCTTTTTTTTTAAGAGAGAGAGAGAGAGAATTTTAATATTTATTTTTTAGTTTTCAGCGGACACAACATCTTTGTTTGTATGTGGTGCTGAGGATCGAACCCAGGCCACACGCATGCCAGGCAAGTGCGCTACTGCTTGAGCCACATCCCCAGCCCTACATTGTCTTTTTTTAATATTTATTTTTTAGTTTTAGGTGGACACAATATCTTTATTTTATATTTATGTGGTACTGAGGATTGAACCCAGTGCCTCATGCATGCTAGGTGAGCACTCTACCACTGAGCCACAACCCCAGCCCCCTACATTGTCTTTAAAGCAAATAATCTTCAGCATTTTTCTCTCTCTTCAATGCATTAGGAAGGCCCTCATCCCCCACTTCTCTATATATCTCTCTCAACTCAGAACCTTTTGTAGACATTACAAGTATCAATCATGGAGCCATAGACTATGAGAGCTGAGGAAATAGGATATGCTGACTGAGAATACAGAAGGTGATGAATGAGTGAGTGAATGGCTGACCCCAGGGCTCCTGATGCAGGACACTCTTCATTTCACTACACACAAGTACAAGTCATTCAAATCCTGGCCCTCCTCCAGTCAAGACCATCAAGGGATACTGCAATGAAAGTATAGCCATTTATCAAGTAGCCATTGCTTCTTTGTGCTTAACATGGATACCTTTTCTGGTTTAAACCTTCCCTTTCTTCTGTTGAACCCCCTCAGGTCACTTTGACTGCTGAGACTGAATGTAGCTACATTTCCTGGCCCCGGAAAAGCCTCCATCTTCTTCTAACCAAGGAGCAGTACATCTCTCACCTCTTCTCGGCCCTGCTGGGCTATGACATTTCAGAGAAGCTCTACACTCTCAATGATAAGCTCTTTGCTAAATTTGGGCTGCGCTTTGATATCCGCCTCCCCAGCCTCTACCATGTCCTAGGTCCCTCTACCCCAGATGGAGGGCCAGAGTCCGAGAAGGATGATGAGGAAGTCTGCGAGCCATCCTTGTCCCCTGTTCAGGCCACGCCCACCTCTGTCCAGCATGTGTCTCCTTGTTCTCCCCCTCCAGCTGCTACCAACCTACCTGCACCTCTTTCCCGGGCCAGGATGTCCAGGCCTGACAGCGGCATCCTGGGTGAGGACTCCACCAGTCTGGTGCTGGAGGATTTTGAGGAGGTGTCAGGATCAGAATCGTTTATGGATTATAGGAGTGATGGGGAGTACATGAGGTGAGGGCGGAACTAACATGGGCACTGTCACCGTCTCAGGACCCCACGTAAGTACACAGAAGGTGGCTGCCACCTATCCCTGCCAGCAGCTGGCCTTAACTCAGCTTCTAAGGACAAAAACACCAGCTTATGAAATGTCATCTCTCAGAGTACTCATAGAAAGTGGCATTAACCCATGTTGCAGACAGCAACTCACTCTGGGTGCATGTAAGGCATGAAGGGATTTTTAAAACTCATTCCTTGTAAACTATGATTGCATCTTGGAAAAAGGCTGGTTGACATTTTGAGCAGCCAGGTAGGTTGCTGAATTCTCTTGTAAGGTTGTGCTGGGGCCATAGGAGATTTATTTGTGGCATGTATTTTAAAGGAAAAAATTGCTGGCATGGTTTTACTTCCTATTGATTGTCGTCCTGGAATGGAGTTAGTTCTGGAAACCTGTTGTTACTCAGGCTGGACTAGGCAGAAATCTCTGTTAAAATCACACTTAACCCCAGAATCTGCTCAACTATTTGAAAGAGACGTGTGTTCCTAGGCTAATAGTTCTGGGAAGAATATGTCTCCAAATTGCTTTCTTCCTTAATGGAGGGCATGTTGACCCCTTGGGCAGAGGACTGAGTGCTGCTCTGATTAAAGTTACTATGATAGTGGTAGAGCACTTGCCTAGCATGTGTGAGGCACGGGGTTTGATTCTCAGCTCTGCATATATATAAGCAAATAAAATAAAGGTCCATCAATAACTAATAAAAATATTTTTTAAAAAGTTACTCTGATAGGACAGGTTTAGGATAGCTTGGCTTTCCCCAGCAACCCACACAAAGGGGAGGTAGGCTGGGTTTGAATCTGGGAGGTGAAGAGTTCCCTCACGGACGCATATACAAGAAAGAACATACTCACTAGTTCTGGGAAATTGCTTTCATGTTCCCCCTGGCTGTTCTCACAATACTGTGACATTTTCCTCTGGGACTCTACCAGACCATGGTGGAGGTCTGGCTTTTCCTGAGGAAAATCCCACCATCCTCAATTTGTAAGGCATTTCTAAGTGAAGGGGGTGCTAAGAATACCAGCATTCTTTGGGAAGCACCGACAAATCTCTTATGCAAACAGCCCGATGCAGAAGGCCTCCAGGGTGCACAAGTGAACGAGTGCATGTTTGTATATTTTGAAAACAAAGTTTCATGAATGATAAGAGAGATGAATGGTAAGGGAGAGATACATGGTTTCAGAGAGACTTTATCATCTTCTGCGGTACCAGTGTCCTCAAAACCATAGTTGAGCAGATTCTGGGGTAAGTCGAAGGATCTTTCTAGGACCTATGGTCACATTGTTGACTTCCCTCAATGCACTGTCCCCTCTCACAGGCCTTCCTCACCTCTGGTGTTGGGATTCACCTCACTCTCAGCCATTCCTGCCAGTTGTCCTATGTGTCTAAAGTGTTCCATTTTATGTCCTACTCTGTCCAATGTGCCTACCCACCTGCACACTCTCTTATCCTGTTTTCTCATGTTGTTCTTCCCTGTTTTCTCTTCTTTTCATGACCCTATTTATTTTATTCCTTCTTGCCTCTCTTTGATTTCTGACTTCTGCTCAGTTTGCTGCTTTTTTTTTTTTTTTTTTTTTGGTACCAGGGATTGAACCCAGGGCATGCTTAACCACAGAGCCACATTTCCAGCCCTTTTTTGTTTTGTTTTGTTTTGTTTGTGTAGTACTGGGAATTGAACCCAGGACCTTGTGCCAGCACTTTTTAATTTTTTTTTTTTTTGAGACAGGGTCTTGCTAACTTGCTTAGGACCTTGCTAAATTGCTAAGAAACTGGCTTGAAACTTGTGATCCTTCTGCCTAAGCCTCCCGAGCTTCTGGGATTACAGAGTTTGCTCTTAAATGTCCCTTTTCTTCTCCTCAGTTCAATTTCTCCCTCTCTTTTTGTCCTCTGTCATCTCCCCTTTTATTGTGTATATATATATATATATCTCCTGTTACCTTCATTTCCTTTTGTCTACTTTCAGCCTTGTTCTACTCTATTCTTCCTCCCAAATTACCTTGTGGTTCCATTTTATTAATTTTAAATTCTAAGTCTTCCAAAATCAATACCCTTTTCTCTGAATAAAGAAAACCATTAAAGTAAAAGTGTCTAAATTACCAACTTTTAGGAATGTTTTCCAAACATCAGGGAGAAGCAGCATGGTAAAAAAGAAAGAGACCAGAACTGGAAACTCAAAGTCCGGGCTTCTATGTCTGGTTCTGCTAAGTAATGTGTGACTTTTTGCAAACCATACAACCTCATCGAACCTCGATTTCTTCTTTGAATGGTTGAACCAGCTGTCCCTAAGAGCCTTCTTCAATTAATGTGAAAAAACAAAGGATAAGCTTTTCAGAGGAGGTAAAGAGAATCATTCTGTCTACTGAGCAATGAACGCAAGCCCCAAGACATCTGCATGTCTCAGCAAGGACTCTGCTATATTTCACTACCATTTCTCTATTCACTTGTGACTGCTCACCCTGGGTAGGGTTTCCTTCTTGGCCAGAGTTCCCTCTATTCTGTACTTGTAATGAATCATCACCCGCCATGTTATTGCATTCTATATGAAAGAGGGTCACTATTCAGTCTCCACACCCTCTACCCTTAATACTATTATGAAATACCTCTTTTTCAAATTTAGACATTTTTGAAACTTAAGATGAGAAAACAGCTCATGAAACTCATTTTCTAAGTACTGGAATTTTCAACATAAGGCGAGTAGGTGGTTTATGTTTGTTTTAGTAATAGAGAGAGAGGGGAAAAATACATTGTTTACTTTTTAAATCAGATAGTTTTTAGAAAAAATTGAAAACATGATCAAATTGGCCAAATCTCTGATGGCTTTCAGCTAAGTCTGTGATAACAGGATAATTTAACTTGAGATCTTTTTCTGAAATTGTGTTTTGGGATGTTTGGCTTAATTGATTTGCCATCAGACTCCTTATAGGGTTATTACTTTAATGAATAAGCATATTCCCCATGATTGGTCACAATTTGCTACCATCTATTTCCTTGCCCTTTAATTGCCAAAATTTTAAGCTCATTGCTATTCATTCCACCATAGCACTTACGTAAGAGGCTGAATTCTGTACTGTTAGGAATGACACAACTGCCTCACATGGACACCAGGGCTTGTCTCTCACACCAATTCAATTTAGGAACAACTAAAAATAGTCAGAGCTTCCATTGGAATTCTTTTGTTTCTCTTAACAGGAGAAGTGCTGCGGATCATATTTTCATGCAGGAACTCCTGCCAGATTCTGAGTTATCCCTGACTTCACTAGGATTTTTCACATGCATTCTGTGGACACTGTCTAAAGTGTTCCATTTTATGTCTTATGGAAATGCTCAATGAATGAGAGGCCACGTTGAGCAGCATCTCTGAGGTGGTCAGTTAAGTTAGACAATGAATCTATTATCACAGATTAAATTGGAAGTTGTCTGCAATTTGGCTAATTTTGATTGTTTCCATGTTGTTCTGAAAACTCTGGTTTGGATGATAAAGACTACATATTGTAAGCTGGGTGCAGTGGTGGACACCTGTAATCCTAGTAACACAGGAAGCTGATGCAGGAGAATCACCAGTTCAAGGCCAGCCTCAGCAATTTAGTGAAACCCTGTCTCAACATAAAAAAATCAAAAGGGCTGGTGATGTAGCTCAGTGGCAGAGTGTTTGCCTAGCAAGGCCCTGGGTTCAATCCCCAGTATCACAAAGAAAAAGATATTTTTTAAGAAACTATATACCATTTTCTTTCTCTATTATTTATATAAGCACATTATAAACAGATTATAATATGGAAGTTAATTGTGGTTCAAGGAAGGAGCCCAGGACCAAGAATTAGTACCAAGGCTAAAGAACCAACTAACTCATCATTTACAATCTAGCATAAATTTCAAGCACTATTCTAAGCACATAAGCAACAGTTTAAAGTGTTAAAGATATTTAATCCGCAAGAAAAGGGAAAGTATGATATCTTCAAAATTTAAAAAGAACAGCAATTATAGTTTACTCAACTTGGTGTTGTTCTTATAGGCAGAAATTTGAATTAAAGTCTAAAAGTCCTAAGGAGAAAGATTTTGGCTTAATATCCATAATGAATTTTTTGTATGATAGTGAGTTACTCATCATTAGGAGAGTTCAAGCAGGGGCCAGAAGAGACTTTGTAAAGTGATTCAGGCTCTGGGAAAAGGATGCCTTAGATTATCACTAGTAAGATAACTTCTAACTCTGCCAGGCAATGATTCTGTGATTCTAAGATCTGACTCTAGTCCTGCTGTTAAGCACCATCAGGAGGAGTTTCCTCGTATGCTCTGTCTACCTTACCAGGTTGCTGTGAGGATCAGTGAGATAAAGTGTCTATACTTTAAAATTCCATATGTGATATCTCCAGTGAATAATCTATAGAACTCTCCTTCCTATTTAACCCAGCTGAATGAGTTAATAACCAAAACCTATATTGAAATATGGTAAACTTTGTAGAGCTCCTGTCTTTTATTTTGTTTAGCCCTCTCTTATTCTTTCTCTCTGTCAAAGATACTTGATTCTCCTTCTTATTTCCTGCAGTTTGTCTTTCCAGGAAAGGTGACAGCTAGCAGAATCCCCTGAGCAACTGAAAGGTGGAGGCCTAAAGAGAGCCCAGACTAGTTCCCCAGCTTCTGAACAGCCCAGTGCCGGCTGGGCCTCTGGCTATTCTCCTGTATTTGTTTAGGAGGAGACAAATCTCCTCCTGAACACATTGTGTTCAGGCTTTCTCCTTTAGAAATGACTGTAACATGCTTTGTAGCTGTCAGTGTGAGTCAACAGCACTTTTATCAGAAACACTGGAAAGACTTCTGGGGCAGAAACCTTGCTTTTGATAGTGGCATGACAGGACCGGGGTCTCCAGTAGTGCTGCCTCTGCCACCATTGGTTTCCTGTATCAGTCAGGTCATGGAGCAGCAGTTCTTGCCTGCATCCTGGGGCTCTGAAACCCTGCAGCTCTGGGTATTCTTTCACTTCTGTGTTAAGGGCCTCACTGTACCTATTCTTCTCCGTCAAAATAAAACACAAGAGCCCTACAAAATTTACCATATTTCAATATAGGTTTTTGTTGTTAACTCATTCAGCAGGGTTAGATACGAAGGAGAGTTCTATAGCTTATTCACTGGAGATATCACAGCAGATCTCTTGGTCCTTTCACCTATAAAACAAGAGGTTTAGATTAGATAAGTTCAAAACTGATTTACACCAATATCCTAGAATGGAAGGATTCAAACGTACAACTGCTTTACCATGTCAGGCATTGGGTACAGTTAAAATTGGGAATTGGGGAAAAAAAGAATGAAAAGAGCCATGACTTTAGGCACAATCTGGAGCCATAGTGCTGAAATTCTTCCTCTTTTTTCTTTCCACAGCCTCTAGATCTCCTCTCCAAATCTCCTCTCAAGTTAAGTCCAGGAGTCAGGCCCCTCTGGCTCCCATCCACACTCCTGAACTTTAAGGATCACCAGGCTGCCCTTTTCTCTGTGGCCAGCACAGCTCTATTCCACGATCACAGGATGGTCACTTGCATGCATGCCCCTCCTCTCACCCACTGGAAAGCTCTGGGGCAAAGCAGGAGTGGACACAAAGTGCCACCCCTGCAGCTACACAGAGGGCCTGGGGGACACTGAGACACTCTAAGGAAGCCATCCACAGGAATGAGGGCCATATTCCATCCTTTGCTAGCTGCAGTCTTGGCAAGTAACAGCCTCTCTGAGCCTCATCTCTAAAGTGGGATTATAAAACCTACCTCACAGGGTTGTTGTGAGGATCAGATGAGTTGATTTAGCTGAAGCACCTATGTTGTGGCATGGCACATGGTAAGCACTCAATAAATCACTCAGCTCTTTTCCTATGTTATTTCTTTGAGTTGTCTAGAAGGATCAATTGAGGCAACTATTCAACAAGTTTTCATTGGTGGTTATTTTTTATTTTTCAATTAAGATTCAATTTATGGAAGTAGAAACTGAAGATATAGTTTTCCCTTAGGCTTTTAAGTTCAACTTACAAATCTCTTATTCTATCTATGAGTCTAGTATCAGGTAACAGTTTTTTAAAGGATTTTTACAAACTTAGTAAATTAAACTTAGTAAATTAGTTTCCTTAAAAACTTAAAAGTGGACTTATAAATTAACTATATTCTGTTACTTTTATATATATATATATATATATATATATATATATATATATATACACACACACACACACACACACACACACACACTCTGGCTCTCTATTCTGTGTAATACTTAATCCTAATATATATATTCTGGCTCTCTATTCTGTGTGTAATACTTAATCCTAAAACAATGACTTGAAACAGAAACAGTAGTTTTGCTCCTGAATGTGGGACTTGCCTGGTTTTGACTAGGTGGTTCTCATTCAGGGTTTCTCATGCTGTTGCAGTCAGGTCATAGCTGGGACTGGAATCAACTCAAAGTTCTCTTCATCTACCTGTCTGGGGCCTTGACTAGGAAAACTCAAACAGTTGAGGAATGGACCAGCCAGGGAAACTTGGGCCTCTCTTTCTCTCTGAAGTAACTTCTCTTACTGCTGAGGAGTTTCTCTAAGTGATTGTAACAATTTACATTCTCTCTAACAGGGTATAAGAGTTCCAGTTGCTTCTTATCCTTCCCAAGTTGTCATTGTCATCACCCCCCCAACCCCCATTTGAACCATTTGGGCATATGTAGTAGTATAATATTATTGTTCCTATTTTCATTTCCCTGATGAAAAATGAAATCAAATACCTTTTTTTTTCTTTTCTTGGCCACACGGATATCTTCTATTGTGAAGTCTCTATTCTAGGTTTTGTCTGTATCTCAATTTATATGCTGTTTCATATTGTCCTAAAGAAATTCTTTAAACAATCAGGTTAAAAGTCCTTTGTTGTTGTTGTTGTTTTTCAAATATATTCTCCTATCTTGTGACTCTTTTCCCCTTCTAAATGATATATTTTAAAAAAATTTGTTCTAATTAGTTATACATGACAGTAGAATACATTTTGACACATTGTATACAAATGGAGCACAACATATTCCTCTGGCTACCCATGGTGCAGAGTCATACCGGAATTGTACTCATACATGTATATAGGGTACTAATGTCTGTTTTTAAAATGATATCTTTTGATAGATATAAGTTTTTTATTTCATTGTAGTAAGTTTTCAGTCTTTTCCTCTGATCAGTGCTTTCTGTGTCATGTTCAAGGAACTTCTCTTCTCTTGAGGATATTCTTCTATATTACCCTTTAGATGTTTTATCGTTTTACATTTCACAGTGAGGCTACAATCAACCTGGATTTGCTTTTTTGTTGTTATGAAGTAAAAGTTCAGAATACATTATTTTCCATATGGATATCCACTTGACTGAGCAAGACTTATTTAGATTCTTATCCTTTATTCCTATTAGTTTTGAGTGTCCCCTTTGTCATAAATCAAATGCCCCTATATCTGTCAGTCTCTTTCTGCATCACCTATTCTGTTCCATTGGTCTATTTTTCTGTCTTTTGACAATACACCTTGTTGCAGTTATCATAGCTTTACAAAGAACTTTCTTATCTTTGAACATTGTTCCTCTTCAAGTATTAGTTATCCCTGTTCTTTCCATTTGCATTTCTGTATAAATTTTAGAATCAGCTTGTCAATTTTGAAAAAAATCTTTCCTGGAATTTTTATTAGAATTTCATTTTCACTATGGATCAAGTTGGTAAAGAATTGATATCTTTATATTGATTTTTCAATCGATGAATGTAGTTTAGCATATTTTGATATTCTTTCTTTCTGCTCAATAATTTTTTCCATGTAGATGTCATTGCAGGTTGACTTTAAATTTATTTCTAGGAGTTTGATAAATTTGATGTGGTTATAAATGTATCATACTTCATAATCATTTATTACTGCTATATATAAATACTACTGATTTTTTATCTTTAACTTTCATCCAATGATCTTGATAAGTTAACTATTAATTCTAATCATTAATCCATATAGTTTTTAGGATTTTCCATAGATACAATTATCTCATCTATAAATAATTATAGTTTTATTTCTTCATTCCTGTCCTATACTTTCCTTCTCTTCCTTCCTCTCCTCTTCATCTCCTCTTTATTCTCTTCCTCCTCCTCCTCCTCCTCCTCCTCCTCTTGATTCCTTGTTGTGCTGAGTAGGACCTTCAGTACAGGGAAGAATAGCAAGAGTGATAGAAGACAACTTTGTCTCATACTTGATCTCAGGGACAATGTTTTCAATACTTTACCATTAATACAATGTATGCTATTAGGGGTTTATAATACTTTTATCAAATTAAATATGTTTTCTTTGTTCTGAATTTGCTAAGTTTTAAATCATAAATGAGTATTGAATTCTATCAGATTATTTTCTGCATTTATTGAGATTATCTTCTTCATTCTGTTAATGTTGTGAGTTACATTAATAGATAAACAAATGTTAAAAATCCCTTGTATTACTGGAACAAACCCAACTTATTCCTGAAATAAATTCATCTTTATTATAATATATTATCCTTTTATGTATTTCTGGACTTGGTTTGAAAATATTTTGTTTAGGATTTTTGCATCTATGTATTTTGTGGAATCATTAAGTTTGAGTGTCACAGTTATGTGGTTTTATAAGATGAGTCAAGAACTCCTCTCCCCACCTCCAACACTCACACTTCTCTTTTTTTCTTCCCTCAATTTTCTGAAAGAGATCTTTAAATCAAAACATACTTTTTGAGTCCCACCCCACTTGCCTTAACTTCTGCTCCCCCTGTCTTATTCTCTCAGTTGCTTACACCCAAAACCTTGGAGTCTTTTCATCAGTCCTATCAGATCTATCTTGAAAATATATCCTGAATTCAACTTACTCTCTCCATTGCCACCACTAGTTTCAAGCCACCACTACTTCATAACTAGAGTACCTGCAAAAGACACATAACTGGTCTGATCTCTCCTGTCCCTTCTCCCCATAACTCTTCTACACATACAGAGCAAAGTGGTACGATTCTAAATGTGTTTGCTGTAAAGAAAATAAATGAACACATGTAAGAGCTCATCATTTCTACCTCAAAAGCACAAATGATTTCCTATTACACTTAGAATAAAATTCAAACTTACCATGTAGTATTAGTTAGCATTGGCTTCCTTAAGAGCACAAAGATTTATCATTTCTCTCTTTCTCAATGTGTACTAAGAGTCTGTGTGACTAACAAGGGTAATTGTGCTTCATGCTGCAACTCTGATTCAGCTGACCATCAGGCTCTGTCCTCTCAAGGAAGAAACAGCTTGACATCCTCATGTTGGCTTTTCTCTACTTTGGCCTGGAAGTGGCGGAGTCATTTCTGCCCAGAATCAGTCACATGGACCCACTTAATAATCAGCTTTGGGCTTTGTATATTAAAGGGGTTGGAAATGTGGGGAATTCTGTGGAAGGTTTGAAGAGTTCTGCTACATCTAAGCCCAAGGCCCTACCTGCCTGTCCCTCTAGCCATAGCTCATTCTGCTTGTTCTCTCTCGTCTTTTTGGTGTTCCTCAGGAATACCCACCACCTTAAAATACTAAAATTGTAGTTGTTCTTTGTCTTCAAGGCTTTTTGCTCATACCTCTTCTTGGCTGGCTTCTTCTCATCCAGTTCTCAGCTCAGACATCCCCAGTCCAGCTAAGATGCCCACATCACCTCACCATCACATTGTCCTGCTGCCCTGTTTAGACTTCAGAGCTCTATTCTCTTTCCCCTCCTTTTAGGATTCTAGTTGTGTGCTTTGTAGAACTCAGGTGTCTCTATGACTCCTGTGTTCTTTTCTCATTTTTTCCTAAAATTATTTTGTGTGTTTATTCTGTTTCTTCCATGCACATTTTATAATAGAAGGCCTCTGTCAGTCTTTAGATATTCAACAGCTCTCTTGTCAACCCTTCAGGGAGAGTAAATGAAGAAATAACAAACAACGGAGCATACTATTCCCAGTAAATTGGGCCTCAACCTGAGTGTGGTGCCCTTCTCCCACCTGGAGGATCCTCAAGGCAGGTGTCCTTAGACACCTGTAGTATATATAGAAATTCCACAGGATTAGACTTCTTCCCCCACCCACTTTTCTTTTTCTTTTTAAGGGTCAGACCTTATATAGTAGAAGTGGTGCTTCTACCTAACAGCATATGGAAGGCAAAAGTCATTTGGATTTCAATAAAGTTTTTGGTAAATTTGTGAGTTCTAAAAATTAACTGCAATAGTATCTTTATATATTTGAAAAATAGTATCACATATAGATATAAAGCATTATATTTAGTCTACAGAAATGCTTGATATGATATGGATTTGTGGACCTCATATAATAACTGCACTGTAGGTCCACATATCTGAAAAGAAAATCTATGGATTTTAACTTTATACTTTTAGTAATAAAATCTGATAAACCATCAGATTTGCTCCAAGGAAAGGACAGTTAATATTCTTTTTATCTCGTAACTATTTACTGAATGTCTCCTGCTGCCAAATGCTACACTGGAGACTAACTACATACTTCACTAGGTGAATCATCCCCAGTCTCTGCCCTCATGATCTCAAAATCTAGACAAGGAGATGAATGACTTATAGACCCCCCCACCCACTACTTTCCCCACCAAGGCCTTATTAAGTCAAGCTCCTGGGGCCTGGCTCCCCTGAGGATTAATCTTTCTCAGAAGACTCCTCAGCCTCTTGTTTAACTGGCCATCCATCCATGGGCTCATAAATAACTCAGGATGAAGCTGACTCCCTGACACATGCAACCGTGAGCCCTGCCAGTAGGTTGGGCTGAACCGTTACCTGAGCTACGGCTCAGCAGAAGGTGTTACTCCTGCTGAGATCAGGAAGTG